CTATTTTAGTGCTTATATGTAGGTTAGAATCAAAGCTCAGATGTCTAAATTTGAAAACTGTGGGAAGTGTCAGCAAAAGCATTATAAGAAGCCTGATCAAAATGCGGGATTAACCTTAAAGCAGCATCCTAAAGAGGTACTGTACCTCTCTTCCCCATGTGACAAGCACATGAGAAGCTCTAGAATAAGGACTCATAAAGATTCTGCAGTGAACTGCATTCTGATCTCGGGCACCTGTTTCACTTCAGCCTCACGCTCTGTGCAACGATGATGACTCTACTTTTCAGACTGGATGAGACAACATCTAACAGTCCTGTGCAACTAGGTGAAGGTAATACTGCACATTTATCCTACCTCACATTAGACTTCTAAAATGTGGTTTGTATACCTCAGATACTAATTGAGATTCTTACCGATTAGGGAAGAGGAACAGGCCCTTTTAAGTCATTATATATCTGACCTAAGTTAGATGTCCACCTCAGGATAGCATTAATATGGGCTCAGAAATGCTGCATTATTCCCACCAATTACAAGTCTCCCCACATGAGATGGAGATCCCTCTTTCCTACCCACATGTCTAAGTTGTAGATGCCCATGGTTATCACAGAAGAAGCCCAGCCTTCATGGCCAAATGCTGATTGGGAACAGGAATACCCACAAAGAATAGCACTGCCCTGTGTCACCATCACAAAGGCAAATAATGGCAGAGAACTTTGATATTGTCCTGGTTTGAGCCAGGATGAAACCCATTTTCCTTTTACTGATTTTTTTTTTTCTTCAGCAAGCTTTCTTTTAACTAGTAACAGCTAGTGCTGATAAGACAGTGGAATGTTTTTCTAACTGCTGGGTCTTCAAGGTCACACCTTCACTCTGCCAACTCAGACACTACGGGGAGATCTCGGACCCCCCCGTAGGAGGCTGAGTTAGACAGACAGCAAAACTGGCCAGAGATGTTCCATTCCATATATCTACGTAAGCTCAGAGGAAGGTCAGAGATCACAGAAGACAACTTCCTTCCTGCTGCTTCTTCCCTTCTCTTCCATCCATGGCCGGTGTCCGGGGAGGACTCCGTCCATCCATCTCCACCGACTCCCAGGCTCGAGCTCTCCTGACCCTCATCACTCTGTGCTCTCTCCACCAGCAGCTCCAGGATTTTTTGGGACTGTTGGCAGCTCAGGAGATGCTGTGGGAGTTGCTGGGGGTGGGGGGAGGCGAGAGGCTTTTGCATATACCTGAACATATTTGTATATATTTTCTTATATCAATAGTGTTTAATTAAAGCTGTGTAGCTTAGTTTTCAATCCAGCCAAGTCTCTCTCTTTTTCTCTCTCTCCTTCCCTACCTGGGTGGAAGCGGATTGAGAGCGTTGTTGTCAAACCTGAGTCAAATGGTGACAGATATTTAGCCATTAGTTTATACTGTCAGTGCTGCTGATACCATCTCATGTCAAGATGGGTAAAACAAGGTCAGAAATGAGCTACACGCAACAGACCCAGCAAGAAGAACTGGAAGCTAATGTGGTCTTCAGTTTCTGCACTGGTATTAGAACCTCCCTGCACTAGATGGAGGGAGGTGCCACATGGATATACCAGTGGGAGTGGACTGAACCCACTGCACTGTGTAGTTAGGCCCCAGCACTCCTATTGTTGGTATGAATTATACCAACATACTGCTCCCTTGCACGTGTCTGAAGTGAAGTCTGCATCTTTTACAACAATGCTACTTGTGACCCCATCACTTTAACTTTCAGGCACCAGTCGGATAGCGCACCTTCAGTACTTTTATATTTTTATAATTATTCAAGGGACTTTTAAGGCAGCCCAAACTTAAACCAGATAGATACATTTCACATTAATTGCAACATGCTAGAACAGATTTCCATCCATTGAAAGCAACCGCTTCTATACTTACCATGGCAGCAAGAACATGGAAATAGTGGAATTCCAAGTTTCAATTTTTGGTGGAAGATACAGACAAAACAGGTTCAGTTTAGGTGTTTTTCCACTTTTGGCCAAGTTTGGGCTCCTGTATCTCTACAAACACACATCCCTAGCATTAGATACACTGCTGACAAGACTTCATTCATCCAGAGAGACATTTAAAATACCCCTGTCAATGACAAGTAACTGTATGACCTGGTGATGATGCCCAAAGCACCTTCTTTGGTTTAACAGCAGACACACGGCATTGATTCCTCTCTCATACCAATGTTAATCATGACAAACTCTCATAAAGTCAGAATTAGAATTGCTGTGAATATGTCTACCATGCACCAGAGAATACTGTGACTGTGTATTTCTCAGAGGTGGGGGGTTTTAACTTCTTTTTTTTCTCATTTCTCACGTTCCTCTGGGAGATCTCGTTGGCAGTTTCAACAAAGGGCGTCATCTCTATGCAGATGATATCCAACTCTACAGCTCTGTCAGCTCACGCTCTGATCCCCTTCTTGCCACCTGTCTTCAGCGTGTCAATCAACAGATGGCTACACCACCACTGAGGAATGCTTCAAAGGCATTCAAATTTTTTTTAAAAGTCCTCTTTGTTCCATGTCTGTGGCTCTGCTATCAGTCTTCTTAATTCAGCCCTTCAGTTCTCAGCAAAAAAACCACAACTTGCTGCTATCCATAACACAGGGGTTTCATTTTCTTTTCTCCTGCTTTAAAGCTACTTCCACAGTATTTACAGATTTATCCATACTTGGACATCTGCTTCCTCTGTGTTATGTTGAATGCTTTGCTCCGAATTAAACTAATGCCATTTTGTCCACATTGGTTTCCTAAAAACACCATCAATTTCACCAGCCAATGGGCAGGAAACAGACTGCTACTCTGCTTGGAAAAGTGGAGACTCACCCAAGAACTTTCAACACCCTACAGGTTTTATTGAATACAGAATCTCATCTTAAGACTTGTGGAAATGTATTTCAGTGTCTACAGCAGCAAATCAAAGCCCTCTGATACACATACAAGAGTGGTTTTTTTGCCAGAATATATTTTGAACGTTATCAAAGTGTTTAACTGTACGGAATCTCTCACAGCATCTAGTCTCTTGCTTCACCTCCTCCCTGTTTTACCTCCACGTCCCTTCTCTTCAGGCCTCCAGAAATGACAACGTAAGCCCATTCCTTCAATGACTTACCCTGTTTTAGTATCACCTGCGTCTTTTCGCCTTCCCTTCAAACACGTGTAACACGCACACGGAACAGCCTCAGCTCCACGGCAGTGACACACTCCAAGGACTGATGGCAACAACCCTGAAGGAAGGACGCAGAACGAAGACACAGAACTGCACCCACAGGAGGAAGCACAGCGCGGTGGCAGTGCGGGTGTGATGTGCGGACACAAGGCTGCACGTCGCTGTGCAACACGCCAGGGGAACAACCGATGACGGGGCAAGGCCACAAGTGTAAAACCCCCCTGACACCGTGCAGGCTGGAAGCTGCACCTTCCTTCCCCCAGCCGCCCAGCGCCCCAAGGGGCCGCACACAGGCTGACACAACCACCTCTCTTCCTGAGGGCACCTGAAGTGTCCGTCTCTTTCCATCCGCCTCCCCCTGCCACCCCGTCACTCGCAACCCTGCGGCACGAGGGGCAAACGTTTGTGAGGAAACACCGCCTTGTGCGCTCCTCCCGCAGGATTTAGCACCGGGAACCAGCACGGACATAACCCCGGGCCGGGCCCGGCGGCGGCTCCGCGGGGCGGGGCGGGGCGGGGCG